ACGTGCAGCCAACCAGGGTATCGTTTTTAGCGATTTTACTCTGGAACAGGGTATCGATTTTAGTGATTTTACTCTGGAACAGGGTATCGATTTCAACGAATTTTCTCGAATTTACTCTGGATCAGGGTTTAATTCCGGAATTATCGATGCTGGGTAAAAATTCACGGGGTTAAAATTCGGTCTACAAGCAGGCTAGTGCTGGATTTTACTCTGGAACAGGGTATAGTTTCAGCGATTCTGCTCCGGGACATGGTATAGTTTTCAGCGATTTTACTCTGCTGGAACAGGGTATAGTTTTCAGCGATTTCACTCTGGAACAGGGTCTGGGTTTTGAGGGCCCAGCGGCACACCCCCACACAAGTTTGGAGGGAGTACCCCTCCCCCCTCGGGAATCCTACGGAATTGCCACGTTCTCGTGGTGGAGCTGTTTGAGTGTCCGGTTGACCCTTAGAGCTATGTTGACTTAAGTCTTCAACTCTTGGTAGGGCCTCCCATGTCAAACAGGTCGAAGGGTAGGGTCCTGAAAAAGAGTAATTCCCTGGTCCTCCAGGTTGGGGGTTGGGCACAGGGCTAACAACCCTATCCTGTCAAAAAATATTTGTTATACGGAAACAGCAACAAATTTACCAAATATTTTTGGCTACGACCTCCAGAGGGAAAAAGGAAAAGGGGGGGACCAAAAACTACCTAGCGAAGAACGTTACTATCAGAGATGAAAGATATGGGATTCACTGCATGGAATTTGGAAAGAAAGGCCCAGAATAGACAGGAATGGAAGGATTTTGTTGCTGCCCTACTTGTCAATCCCGGGGGGTACTCCCCTATATTCGCCATACGGGGACGTGCCGCCAAACAGGGTAACGTTTTCAGCGATTTCACTCTGGATCTGGGTATCGTTTTTAGCGATTTTACTCTGGAACAGGGTATCGATTTCAACGAATTTTCTCTGGAACAGGGTCAGGGTTGAATTCCGGAATTATTGATGCTACTGTAAAAATTCACGGGGTAAAAAATTCGGTCTACACGCAAGCTAGTGATTGTGTGCATATAATTTATATTGATTTACTACATCTATTGGTAGCCAAGTGTGTTCGTTATTTAAAGAAACTTTTTTTTAAGAATACTTAAGAACACTTAGAGGCTGATTTTGCAGATTATAACCCTGTATATAAGAACCAAATCATCATGACGAGTTATAAGTCATCATGGCGGCT